TTTTTATGCTTTGCCATAATCGAATCTTGTGAATTAGAGGGCTTTATCAACCCAACAAATCCTCGTTTTTCTTACGTCTTTATCCTTCGACATATAATTACGAGCGAGAGACATTCCGATGGTGCTAATAAGTTGTCATAGACACCCCAGTATTACAGGGTTACTTAAGGGCAAAAAATAAGCCATGTCTCTATTCTGGGAAGACGTATTTTCATGTTTTGCAGAAATTGACGGTATCTTGTGAGTTCAATAGTGAGGCAACAAGTTGTGAGAGTTTATTTTATGACAAAAGTAAAGCCGAAAGGTGTTACACTTTGTTCGTTCTAAATTATTGCTCAACACGAGGAGAGTCCGCGATATTAACTATGACGCAACTTACTAAACCCTTAACATACCACGGATATGTTATTTTTTTTGGAGAAAGCTGACTGATGTTAACAAAACCAGTTGTGGATTAATCTTTTTTAATAAAGCCCCATATGACCATATATATTCAAAACCAGTAGAAAATTTTCTATCGACTTGTCAAGCTTATTATGGGATTCATATCATATAATGACGTCACGACATGCATAATAAGCATAATTATTGAACATTTCAAGCAGAACGAATTGAAAGAATGCTGTAACAAATATATTTCAGAACTATAAAATCATGACATTTAAACATTGAAAATATAATTTTAAGGGTTAATAACACTTCTCTGCACACAAATTTGACCCATTAGGCTTATTGTGAGGGCATGAATTATCTTAGGAGTAACAAAATCTTGATGTATCATCTTTGAGAAAGTCTTAGAGTAAGTCACTTTCATTGTCTCATAGATCACTTTGCCTTAGTTATTTCACTTCCACCATCATGATTGTCTTTACATGTTCAATTTTAAAGAACTCTTCCTCTTCCACTAGTGTGAGGCCGGCCCCTTCCTTCTTTCAGACATCTAGGGCCTTCACGATCTTCATCATTGAAATAGTAGTCTTTCAATATGTAATATCTGAGAAAACAGGGCTCCAGGCAATTGTGTACTCCACACACTGTACAGCTATAAAGGGTATCAACATGCTGAAGGTGAACCATGCAAGTAGATCTTTTGTCATAGCCCACCAGGTGGTGAAAGTGTTCTTGATTACCATAAATCTAATTTCAGGAGTGGGCGGTTAGGGTTAACCTAACCATAACCCAATCAACTCACTTATCAATGACTCTCTGAAGTCTAAAGCAGTTCTAGTGGTATAATTTGAAGATTTTCTTTCCAAAATGTGTGCATTTGAAAGGCAAACTTCTATGAGATAGAGAAAATCTTATAATACCACACAGCACCTCTCATTAGCCTTGCATACATGCTAGTTCTCTGATCACAGATATCAACACCACCCATGAAGGCATTACACAGGCTAACCATACCAGGGCGGGCAAATTTTTGCTTCACCTAGTGGCTGTTTACCTTCACTGATCTTTCCACAACACCAGAATCATCTTCACTTGTGGATACAGTGCCTGAGGAACTGACAGGTTTCCTGTCATGCAATGTCATGCAAGTCAAAGTACCTTTCTGTCTGTAAAGGGACTCTCCTCTTTCCAGACTTTTAACCTGGTTTGACTTCACATCACAAATGTCTTTGGGCAGTTATAGCCTGTTGGACCTCACAGTGCCACAAGCCAGAGTTTTCTTTCTCTCAAGTTCCTCAAATAATCCAAGAGAAATGTAATAGTTATCCATAAACACGTAGTAGTCTTTGTCAAGGAAAGTTTCCATCAATGACATAACAGCCCTTTTTCATAGATCTTTCTGGACTACATTGGCTTCCTTTCCAGTGTATACCTTTCTCCCTAGAACATAGCCTCTGGTTGATTCAGCCGGTGTAAAGGCCTTGACTCCAAACCTGCTTAGTTTTATGGGGATGAATTGCCTAAAATGAACTTTCCCTTTGAATTTGATCAGGGTTTTATTTACAGCAAGTTGCCTCACGGTACTATAAACTTCCCTAAAGCTTTGTATAATCAAATCCAGCAGAGGCTGAATTTTGTATAATTTGTTGAAATTTGGTGAATCAGGCCTGGGAGTTAGGGAATTATCAGCAAAGAGAAGATAGCACAGAATCTGAAGAAATCTTTTTCCTGACATAGTGGTACCAAACAGTGGGGTGGACAGCATGGGGTCAGCACTCCAGTGGGAAGGGATATTTAGCAACCCAACCTTTCATTTCTTCCACAGACACTGGATACCACACAGACTTTTCT